CCGTGACTCGCAACCCTTCTCCTGAGATCTCGATCCCTGCCCGGCGCCTCCTTTCCGCCAGGCGGGCCTCAGTCCCTTCGCAGCGAGCTTGGCTGCCGGCGCGCGTGCCTTTGCGGTGGACGGCGCGCTTGGTCCCTCGCTGGCGCCCTCTGGCTCCGCCGCCTTCTCCACCGCCATGAGCGCGGCGGAGCTCGCCTTCAAGACGAAATTGGCAGACGCGATGGCCGCGCCAGCCTAGATGCGGAAGCAGAGGCCCGTCTCTCCCCACATCTCCCCATATCTCGAGGCCTGACGCGAAGACCCGTGAGTCCGAACTGGCGCTCGAGATGACGCGTGGGCGCGGCGGCATCCCCGCTGTCGTCAGCGGCATTCGTAGCCCTCGCATTCACGCGATGCTCTGAGTACACCGCTCGACGCCGCACTCCCACCTCCCCACCACCACCACCACGCTAAAGTGCTCATGGCTGTGTAGGAGACGGCCATCCTGCCGGCGGTACGGCGCAAGGCCACCGCGATGGCCGCCGTCCGGCGCCCTAGATGCAGACGAGACCGGCGCCCTAGATGCAGACGAGACGCGCCCGTGCGTTGCGGCTAGCAGTCGACAGGCGTCACGGCCTCGGGAGATTACCCGAGATTACCCGAGATTACCCGAGCGGCTAGCAGTCGACAGGCGTCACGGCCTCGGCTGCCTTCAGCTGTGTTCGCTGCGCGCGTGGCCCGTGACACTCAATGCGCCGCGAGTGCACTGCAGACTCCGCGCTGCCCGCCCGCTGCACTAGGTGTGGCAGCACATCTCGGAGCTGCAGGTGCGTACCAGCAACCGCCCTCCTCCTCACTAGCAGTTGTGAGGAGCCCATGGCTTGTCACCATCGGCTGTTCGGAGCTGCAGGTGCTGAAGCTGAACGCAGACTATTACGCGGACAAGTACCAGAAGCTGCAGGAGAAGGCGGGCACGCAGCAGGCCGGCAAGAGATCACCCGAGATCACCCGAGATCACCCGAGATCACCCGAGATCACCCGAGCCGAGCAGCCGCGAGAGGGATACACCGCGGCTGTACCTCACCTCGGCTGCACCTCGGCTATACCCCGGCTAATCTCGGCTAACCTCGGCAGGCCAAGCTCGACAGCAACCGCGAGAAGAGCGAGGCGGCGTCGGCGGCGTGGGACGAGGCGTCGGCCGCGCTGCTGGTCGTATTTCAGGGCTACGCGGCCATCGGCACCTCTCTGCTCCGCCGTCGCTCTCCTTCACACCCTCCCTCCTCTACGCGCTCTCTTTTCTTTTCTCAGGCAACACTCTGCTCTGCCATGAGTTCGAGCTGTTGAAGAGCGCGCAGGCAGAGGGCAGCAGTAGCCAGCAGCCCGTTGCTCTAAAGGTGCTGCCCGGGCCCGCGCCTGAGCAAAAACATCCGGACGCCCACAGGCGGAGGCATACGAGGCCATGTCGGCCGAGGTGGCCGCGCTGGAGCTGCGGCGCCCCAAGTACCAGGACGAGAGACCCGACGTCGAGCTGCCGGAAGTTGGAGGCGGGACAGTCGGCCTCGCTTCGCTCGCCCGCGCCTCCAGCGCGGCGTCGGAGCCCGACGAGGCCGCGCCACCGCTCTCTCCGCGGGCGGCAGAGGGGGAGGGGGGGGACTCGCCTTCCAACCCGACTCCGGTCGAGTTGAGCTGAGATGCCTTTGGTTTCGGCGGTGGCTTACGTGGGGAAACGGTGGTGTTTCCGGCTGTGTCCGGACGGTACGTTGAGCGGGTGACAAATCTGCAATGTGCATCCTGTTGCGAGCACGCGGCGGCAAGGAGCACGGCTTTCTTTTTCTTGCGCAATCGACCACCATTGCAATATGTCCGCCTCCGGCCCGCACCAGCCGCCCCCGCCGCTCCCTCGCCAGATAAGCCGCCGCCCACCCGCCTCCTCGACCTCCCCACGGAGCTCCTCGTGCGCGCCCTCTCTCATTGCGGCCCCGCCGACATCGCTCGCGTCGCGGCCGTCTCGCTGCTCTTTCACGCCTCGCTTGCAGTGGAGGCCATCCGCTTGTGGGCGCGAGAGCGCGACTTCGAGCTGCCCGCGCAGCCAGAGGGCGAGGGCTGCGCCGTGCGGTGGCTGTGCTATTCAGCGCTGCTGTGCGAGTCCAACCCGCTGGCGAGGGCGGCGGGAAGCGCTCTGCACAGTCTCTTCATTGACGGTGAGGGGCGGCTCTCGTCGTGCGGCTCTGCACCGTCCCCAGTCCTGCTCGGGCACGGTGAGGGCGTGACGCGGCTCAACGCGCCGACCCGCCTTCCCTCGACGCTGGGTGAGCGCGCCGTGAGCGTGTCGGCTGTGTACCACAGCCTCGCCCTCACCGCCGGCGGCAGCGTCTGGAGCTGGGGCGGCGGAGCTGTCTGGAGCTGGGGCTGTTGACTCTTTGGCCGGTTGGGCCACGGCGACGAGCAGGATCAGCGGGAGCCCAAGAAGGTCGAGGCGTTTGCTGGCCAGCGCGTCGTCGCCGTCTCGGCTGGAGAGCACCACACGCCCTCACCGCCGACGGAGCTGTCTGGAGCTGGGGCGCTGGAGCCCTTGACCGGTTGGGCCACGGTGACCAGCAGAACCAGCTGCTGCCCAAGAAGGTCGAGGCCTTTGCTGGCCAGCGCGTCGTCGCCGTCTCGGCAGGATCCCGCCACAGCCTCGCCTTGTCCGCCGACGGCGCTGTCTGGAGCTGGGGCGAAGGATACTACGGCGAGCTGGGCCACGGCGACACGCATAGGCAGCTGCTGCCGAAGAAAGTCGAGGCCTTTGCTGGCCTGCGCGTCGTCGCTGTGTCGGCGGGAAGCGAACACAGCCTCGCCCTCACACCGCTGACGGCGCTGTCTGGAGCTGGGGCGTGGGCTGGGAAGGCCGGCTGGGCCACGCGGGCGATCAGCAGCGCCAGCTGCCGAAGAAGATTGAGGCCTTTGCTGGCCAGCGCGTTGTCGCCGTTTCGACTGGAGTGGGCCACAGCCTCGCCCTCACCGCCGACGGCGCCGTCTTTATCTGGGGTGAGGGCGGCCACGGCTGTCTAGGCCACGGAGATGACCTGTCTCAAACGACAAACCAGCTGCTGCCGAAGAAGATCGAGACGTGGGTGCAAGAGGTTGAGCTTGAGGATTCGAGGAGAGTCACGGGTGCATTATGCTACTCTTGAGTTGTCAAAAGTTAGTAAAAGGGAGAACTTGAGAACAGACAGACGCCAGGCCCAGCGGCGAGCGGGGTGCAGGAACCTTCCCAATGTCATCGTCATCTCACGAAGGCGAGCTCGTAGCAGCACAAGCCCGCAGCGAGCCCGCCCACCCCGAGGAAGTCGGCCACGTTCTGGTCAAAGGGGTACCCGTCATTGGTGCGCAGGGACCACAATTTGAAGCGCTCGCGGACAAGCAGAAAGTCGAAAACGGCCGCAAATTGGGCCGGGGTTGGAGGGATCATGCTGGGCGAGACGTGCAGCTCTATCATCAGCAGCCGCACCGGCCCGAGAGCTTCCGCGGCGGTGGAGTTGTGGGCGAGGTGCTCGATTGCAGCCCACTCACACCCCTCGCAATCGATGGTCAACACGCGGATCGGCGCCGCGCCGCGCGGGCGCCTCGCGACCATCTCTTCAAGAGTCATCAAGCGCGCTTCGTCGATAGTTCCGTAGCTGTTGATGCTGTCGGCTGCTCTCGCACCGCCGGTCCTCTTGCTCGCAATCAAACTGCCTCCGAGGCCAGCAAAGTGGAAGTGCGTCTTGCTCATTCGTGAGGCGCTGCGCCGGTGCCTAGGGGAAGTGGTAGCCGTGAGCGACTCTTCGAAGAGAAAACTCCGATCACAGACGCCAGGCGCGGCCATCGACTCGGGAGCAGGAGGCTCTGTGTGTGCCCGGGCAGAACCAGTGCATACAACCTAGAGCGGAGGAGGTGCCTCGCCCGCAGCTCGACAGTCGGGTCGTAGGCGTGCACCTCGCACCCCTTTGAGAGGGCGTACTCCGCAAACGTCCACAATTCCAATCACGTAAACTGCGCACGGTTCCCCAGCCTGCGCCGGCCAGAGCGCGTCGCAGTAGCTGGCGCTATCCCTCGCGGCGGCCGACCGCAATGTGCCCGGGCAGTGGACGCGGCTCCGGCGGGCGCCACGGCCACCGAGAGGCGGCACCGTGCCGTTCCTCCAGAACCGGCTGTAGTCGGTCTCGGTCCCTCGCCTCGCCGTCAAGCCAGTCGGCAGATCCGGCGAGGCCAACAGCAAGCCGATCCAGAACTGCACCCGGCGGTAGATGTGATGACGGCGGTACGTGTCACTGGCCGCCAACTGCCAGGAGGCGGCGCCGAACTTTGCCTCGTCTGAATCGCGGGCTGCGGTCACGGCAGACTGCTGGTCGCAGGAGCAGTTGTACCACTCTTTGCCGGGCGGGTAGCCGCACAGAAAGTGATTAGCAGAGTCCAGCGCTCCGTCACAAGCAAAGGTGCCGCGGCACGCGCGCGTCCAGACCTGCCGAGGATTGTCGTCGTAGCAGCCGAAGCTCGTGTTGAATAGGCAGGGAGTCCTGCTGTGCTGTCGCACGAGCTCCAGAGAGCATGCAGGCATCGCCCCGGGGGCGTCGGGGCGGCTGAAAGTCGCCGAAAATCCTGCCTCGCGGAGGTGGGGACCCTGGTCGGGTACCCGAGACCGAGGGGGGGCGACACTGCTTCTGCAGCGTGCACCTCGATCCTTAGCGTTTGTTTGTTGTTGTGACCCCCCCCCAAATGATCTTCCACCGAGGGAGGGCGAGACGATGGAGGGTCCCGTACCATGCGGAATCGACCCTATCCAGGGGCACCTATCCAGTGCTCAAGTCCGCAAGTAATTGCGCTCCGTAGTCGACTGTAGAAAGTTTCAATGCGCGCGACGGGCGGGACCAAGTGCTTCGCGCCGTTGTGTTTTGCGCGTTCTGCTTCGCACGTACGTTGCGCCTCGCGCGTTGCGAGCGCACGCCAGGACGGCCTGGTGCCCGTGACTTGTGTGCCTTGGGGACGCAGCCACACACATGGCACACAGAGTCAGCGGCGACGACGACCTGAGGGAGCGCCTCTACGAGCGGCGGCTTCGCAGCTTCATGAGTCAGCGCGGGCTCCAGCGGAGCGAGGCTCAGCGGCGCGTTGTTCATCTGGAGTCGGCGCTCTTCCAAGGTCCTGGACGGGACCGAGGCGGATCCGTGCGAGGACGCCTCGAGCCTGCTCCACACCATCAGGGCTGCCGGCCCGCTGGGCAGCCAGCAGTGCCAGCCAAGCCAGGCTGTAGCGACGGGATCGAGTCTGATCAGGCCTGCAACGGTCCGCCGCTCGTCGCAGGCGAGGCCGAGGGACAGCAGGAGAAGGAGCGGCCGCCAGCTTGGCTGCGGGACGCGACTGCTGCCATCGACAACAGCCTTCCGTCACCGGCTCCGGAGGTTGTCGCCGCCCTCGAGGAGAGGCTCGCAGAGGCGGAGCGGCAGGCGTCGCAGGCTCGCTCCCGCATGGCGCAGCAGCGGCAGCTTCTCGAGCGGCAGCGCGCGGCGCACGCGGATCAGGTCGACGCTCTCGCCACCGCCGCCGAAGCGCGCGAAGTGGAGCATCGGCGAGAGCTTCGGCGGGCAGAGGCGGCACTCGAGGAGCAGCAACAGCAAGAGAGGCAGGTGGTCGCCGTGCTCCGCTCGCAGATCGAGGCGGCGCACGAGTGGCATGCACGGCTGGCGGAGGCGCAGACAGAGGAGGCGGCGCGGCTGGCGGCCGCATCGGAGACGGAAGGGGAGGAGCTCAGGGTGGAGCTGCTGCGGGAAGAGCTGGCCACAATCGAGCGTGAGCGCTCGACGAGTGAGGCGGCGGCGCGGGAGGGGAAGCGGCATCACGAGGCGGCGGAGGACGAGGCAGAGGCGCGAGTAGCGCGGGCGGAGGCGGAGGCGGAGGCGGCGAGGGAGCGGACAGCGCGGGCAGAGGCGAAGGCGGAGGCGGCGGCGGCGCGGACAGCGCGGGCAGAGGCGGAGGCGGCCGAGGCGAAGGGGCGGACGGTACAGGCAGAGGCGAAGGCGGCCGAGGCGGAGGCGAGAGCGGTGCTGGCGGAGGCGGCTGCCGAGGCGGCGAGAGAGCGGGCGGCGAGGGCGGCTAGGGCCGAGGCGGCAGCCGAGGCGATGGCCGAGGCGGCTGTGGCACGCGTGACGCAGGCCGCGGCGGCCGAAGCCGCGGCGAGTCGGGAGGCGCTTGCTGTCCCCGCGCTGCGGCAAGCCGCTGCCGTCGCGACGAGGCGGCTCGAAAGCGACAACATCTCGCTGAGCAACAACGCCGTCAACCAGTTGGCCTCGATGGCTAAGGAGGCCGTCAACCAATTGGCCTTGATGGCTAAGGAGGCGGGCGCTGTGGCGACCTCGTTGGGTAGTGAATTGGCCTCGGTGGCTAAGGTAGCGATCGACGCCAACCGCGAGATTGGCGCCAACCGCGAGACTTACAAAGACCTCGAGCAGATCCTGGACCTCGAGGTGACGTTCGAGGCGGAGCAGTCCGGCCGGCAAGCACTCGCGGAGGAGCACGCATTCGCAGTCCACAGGCAACTCCGCGAGGCGCGGTCCGGCTGGGCCCTTGCCAAGATGCAGCTCGTGCTGGGCGCCACAGCGTGCGCGCGCAAGCAATCCGCCTTGGCCCGCTGGGCGCGCAGAGCCTGCGGCCTAAAGGTAGCCACGCTCAGGCGGCGCGCGGCGGCGGCCGCTGCCGACGCGGCTGACCTGCGGGGGTGTATCAGGCAGGCGACGCAGCTGTTTGAAGAATGAACTTTCTCACGACGATCAGCATCAGGTACGAATAACGGAAACTCGCACATTCCGCACATTCCAGCGCGCTATCGGTTTGCTAACTAAAGCGTGTGGATGCTGGGTTGACGGAAAAATCGAGGGACGCGACCCACCTCGCCACAGACGGTCCCGCGCCTCGCCGCTAAGTTTGCGCGGCACGCGCCCCGGCGCCTAAGGGGTAAGGGCGCCCCGCAGGCCGCACCTAGGCCGCACCGCGTCCGCTGTGCCGCGTTTTTTGTCCGGAGTGAAGTCCAACGCGCTCGTCGGTGGCGGCTTCCCTCAACCTGCGCCGCGCTCGGCGAACCTCGACAGCGCTTTCGGTGGCATGCAGCTCTTTGCTCTTTGCGACAGAAGCCCCTGGAGAGCAGCGCTCCTCTGCTGCTCAACAAGCCTCTGCACAGTTTTGACACAGCCTACTGTGCGGCTGCCACAGCCCCGAGGTCAGATTCATCTACTCTGTTGATGACAAGACTTGTCTACCGGCTGGAGCCGAGCAGGAGGGCCCGGCGCACAACCCCTTGGTCAACTCACCCTCCACACCCCGTAAAAGAAAGGCCGAGCTCGAACCTGTTTTTTTGGACACACGCGCCCACACCCACAAATGGCCGCTACGATGCTGCGGCTTCGCCGACGGGCGAGTCCAGGACCGCGCACAGGCTGAGGAGCTCCTGCATCTCCTCCTCCTGCATCCGCTCCTCGCACTCCTCCACGATCAGGTGCAGCTCGACGAGGGAGCGCGGCCGCGAGTTGATGAGCATGAGCTCCTCTGCGCGCGTGAGCTGGAAGCGCTGCAGCGCCTCGACGAAGCGGGCGATGCCCTCGCGGGACTGCGCCGCACACGCCGCCTTGTCCAGGTAGCCAGTCGCCTGCTCGGTGATCACCTCGACGTCCTGCAGCGAGCGGCAGGAGCCCGACACCGAGCGGCGCGCACCCGGCAGCGGCATCTTGCGCTCGGCCGCTCTCCGCTCGCGAACCTGCCGCTGCAGGAGCGAGGCCACCTCGAAGTTGGTTAGGTGGCCCGCGCTCTTGTCGATCACCTGCATGCCCCGGCGTGTGTGTATACCGCAAGCCCACAAAATAAAAAGAAAAAATACGTGAATCGTGGGAATTTTTGCCCATTAAAAGAAACCTAAAACCTAAAAAGAAAGCGCGCGGCGACACTGTGTATGAAGCCCTCCCCCGGGCCATCCGCCGCGCCGGACACGCCTAGTAGTGTGCGCTGCCTCTTGGATCTGCCTCCCGAGTGCCTCGCGCTCGTGCTCGCCTCTCTGGCGGTGCGGGACGTGCTCGCCGCTGCCGCCACGTGCCCCGCGCTCAAGGTGGCGGCCGACGACCCCATCCTCTGGCGAAACCTCCTGTGGCAAGTCTGGATCGCAACCGCCGCGCGCGGGGCCGAGAAGGCGGACTTTGCCGCGCGCCTGCTTCGCTACCAGCAGGCGTCGTCCATGCGGGCGGGCGTCGGACCAGACAGCACCGGGGCCGCCGTCGAGGCGGAGCTGCCTGAGCGCCCGAGCGAGGCGCGCCCGCTGCCGCTCTCGCAGTGGCTGCGGAGCTACGACGCGCCGGACGCGGCGCTGGCTGGAGTGTGGCGGCAGCGCCTGATGTGGAGCGGCAGCACCGACCAGTGCCACGGCGACACGGTGGGCTGCGCGTGCGTGCACGGCTCCCCGACGCCGCAGCCGTTTGGGTCGGGGCGAGTGGTGTACTACGAGGTGCGGGTGCTCAGTCAGGGAGAGCACGGGTTCATCGCAGTCGGGTGGAGCCCCGAGGGCTTCCCGTCCAAGAACAAGCAGCCCGGGTGGGTGAGGCACACATACGGCTACCACGGCGATGACGGGCACGTCTACTCGAGCTTCGGGTACGGCCGCCGCTTCGGCGCCCCCTTCGGCACCGGCCGCACCGTCGGCACTGGGCTGGTGCTGCCTCCGCCGGGCGCTCCCCCGGACCGCTGCCACGGCAGCCTTCTCTTCAAGGCGTGGAGGCGTGGAGGGCGTGTCTTCACACCCGCAGCCGTGAACAGGCGCCATCTTCTTCACGGTCGACGGCGAGCTCTGCGGCGCCCCCTTCCCCTCCGTGCCGGCGCCCACGCTCCTCCGGCCGGCGGTGGGCGTGCACTCTGTCGGCGAGCAGGTCGAGCTCCACTTTGGCGACGGCGCGGCGAGCGTCATCGCGGCGTCGCCGCCGCGCCGGCCGTCGCCCTTCGCCTTCGACCTCGCCGAGTACTGCGCGCGCGAGGGCGGGGCGGTGCGCGCCCCAGCGGCGGCGGCGGCGGGGCGGGCGAGGGATCGCGAGGCGGCGCAAAGCTCCCACCCGCGGCTGCAGGCGGAGAGGAGGAGACCCATACCAGCCACCATGCGTACCCCCCCCCCGTCTAGCGAGAGCTCGCGCCCGGGGCCGCGGCAGGCGGAGGAGGAGGGGGGAGGGGAGTAGCCCTCCTCCCAAGAAAAGCCGCCACGCTCTGTCTTGCGCTGACTGGCGCCCCGTCACCATTCGACAGAGTCCCCCCCCTCCCTCCCCGAGCGTGCAGGCGTCGCTCGAGCAGATGCTGCCGTGGGTGAGGCGGCGAGGTTTCCGCTCCCCCCTCCCGGCGACCCTTCCGAGCCCTAGGGCCGCGCGCACAGGTGCTGCACGAGGTGCTGCAGCTCGCCTTCCTGCAGGAGCCGCCCGAGGGCGACGACTACCACGAGCTGCAGCGCTTCGCGCGGAGCCACCACCCACTCAGCCTGCACCCGAGCTGGGGCGAGATATAGCCGAGATATAGCCGAGATATCGCCGAGAGCCTGCACCCGAGCTGGGGCGTGCCGACGCTCGTCGAGCCGGCGCAGCACACGCTGTGAGCAGCGACTCTTCACACCCGCACGTGTGAGCAGGCGTGCCGACTCTCTATATCTCGGCTATATCTCGGCTATATCTCGGCTATGTCTCCGCACGTGCGAGCAGGCGTGCCGACCCTCGACGAGCTGCAGCCCGAGCAGCTGCAGCAGCTGTGCAAGCAGCTCCTCACGCGCTTCGCGCAGCGGCACGCCCTCGAGGACTACGACGGCGCCGCGCCCTCCGACGAGGAGAGCGACGACGAGGAGGACGGCCAGTGAGGGCTCCGGAGGAGTCGCAAGGGCGCAAGGGCGCCCTTGAGAAGGGGATGCCCGGCGGGCGCGCCCTTGTACAGAAGCTCTTCGTTAGCGCTCTCCCGCACGAGGCCGACATGCTTAGTGATAGCCCGTGATGCCAAAGCCCGCAGCTGCGCGGGCGCGAGATGGCCTCGACGCTCCGAGCCGCGTCATTGAGCCTCGCGCAGCGGCAATCGGGACTGCTGGGCGGAAGACAGCGACCTGGGAGTGAACCTGGGTGGAGTTCCACACACACACACACACACACACACACACACACACACACACACACACACACACACACACACACACACACACACACACACACACACACACACACACACACACACACACACACACACACACACACACACACACACACACACACACACACACACACACCGGAGTTCATTCCTTTTTTTTTCGCAAGCTCGCCCCTCGGCTCCAAGTCGTGTTACTCATGCACCTGGCCGCGCTCTGCACCCTTGCGCTGCATCCGACGCTCCGCCCAGCGTTGCCTTGCGCCCGAGCGGCGTCGGCAACGATGGCGCTCGAGGGCGTGCCGCCAGAGCTCGCGAAGCAGGTGGTCGAGGCTGAGGCGCGGGCGGCTACGGGCCGCACGCCCAGAGTTGCAGGCACGGCTGTGCTCGGCCTTCTCGCTGCGGCGAGCGCCGCCGTCGCGGCAGGCTCCCTAGCAGGCAACGAGCAGGCGGCGGCGTTGGCGGAGGACGTGCTGCCGTTTGGCTCTGCACCCTTGTCCCTGCTCCTCGACGCTGGCGTCGGCGGGGCCTGCCTGTGGGCCTACGCGCAGGAGATGCAGACCCGCGACGAGAATCTCGATCGCATCTGGACCGAGCTGCAGCAGCGGCGTGCTGCCGCCGGCGGCGCAAATCGCGCAGAGAGGCGCGCCAAGAAGGTGGCCCGAGAGCGTGTCTTCACGGGCGGTGGCGGCTTTGCAGCCTCGCCTCCTCCTCCGCCTCCTCCGACGCCGGCGTCGCCCCTTTCGCCGCCGTCGGCGGGAGCCGCGTCGGAGCAAGATGGCGGCGGCTTGCTTTCTAGCGTGAAGGATTTCTGGAACGAGGCAAACGAGCTGGGGCGTGCAGGGGCGCTCAATCTTAATGCCCAGCTCGAGGAGCAGGGCGTGCTGCCTGCGCTGGAGCCACTCGACGAGGCAGCGGGAGCTGTTGCGGGCGGCGATGAATCGCCGCGAGCCGAGGCAGCGGGCGCCGGCGTGGCTTCCGCGAAGCGCGGCGGCGGCAAGAAGAAGCGGAAGCGGCGCTAGTTACAGTGCGCTAGACCGCTAGTTGAGCGGGAGGGCGGGAGGTCACGTGCATGTGAAATGATTGATGGTGACATTATTCTTGTGTCTGTAAGCTTGATGTCTGTAAGCCTGAAATATCCGCGCCAAACCGGCAACCGCAAATATGTAATTTTCCAGATTCCACACCCAGCGGTGCGCACAGACGCGGGAGACGGGCCCCTCCACACCCTTCATGTAGAGGGAGCGGACCGTGAGTTGAGGAAATCCGGGGACGCGACCCACCTCGCCACAGACGGTCCCGCGCCTCGCCGCTATGACCGCTGCACGGCCCGTACCGTCCGCTGTGCAGCGGTCTTTGTCCGGAGTGAAAAGTCCAACGCGCTCGTCGGTGACGGCGTCCCCGGATTTCGCCGCGCTCGGCGAACCTCGACAGCGCTTTCGGTGGCATGCAGCTCTTTGCGCCTGAAGCCTGGAGAGCAGCTCCTCTGCTGCTCACACACTCTGCACAGTTGACACAGCCTACTGTGCGGCTGCCACAGCTGTGACAGCGATGGGCTCGCCCTCACTGGCCCTCAGTCACTTGTGCTGCGGCTTGTGTGAGCGACACTGCTCGGCGACTGCCGGCACACTGTGAGACCGTGGGTGTGAGGTAAAACCACGCTTCCAGCGCTTGGTCACATCGGCCCCGAGGTCAGATCCATCTACTCTGTTGATGACAAGACTTGTCTACAGGCTGGAGCCGAGCAGGAGGGCCCAGCGCACAACCCCTGGTCAACTCAGGGTCCACCCCCCGTAATATTGTAGTCCCCACATGCACATCCGCAATCGTGGGATCGCTTGTCATGTGAGAGAGTGCGTTGTGTTCTTGTACTTGGAGCACTTGCTCTGGGCCGGCGCGGGGGCCCCCGGCCCACACCGTGCGCCGCGCAGCAGTGCGGAAACGGGGCTCCGGCTCTATGAGTCTCTATGAGCACCGACTTCCCGAATGAGTACGGTTGAGTAGAGGGCAGATTCGGAGAGATCTCGAGGAGTACATACAGATAGACCCTCCAATCATCAGAAACCTCCGACCTGATCGGTCGTACTGACCGCCGACAGATCACTCCAGACAGCAGACAGGCCGACGTCTGCACGCGGCCGGCCGGGCGAGAGGCTTGACACGATCCGACCCTGCGACCCTGACGCTGCTGCTCTAGCTATCAGCCATGCACTGCTGACTGCTGCCACAATGTGCGACCTGTGCTGGCCCACTTGGCGGCCTTCCCGGTCAGTGGTGAGGGGCGCAGTTCAGAGCTGTCGATGGCGCGATGCCGCACTGGTCCCACATTGGTGACACGAGACCACCAAGTTTGCCGGTCCAAGAGAGAGGCACCGGCGCTGTCCTGAGAAGGTGCGTGGTCCCTCTTGACTGCCCATGCGCGCGAGGCTGTGTAGGCATAGCCTCGAGAGTGCCAGCAGCCCATCCGAGGTGACGCGCATTGCGCCAGAAGCGTGCACGCAGCTGGAAGGACACCTTCCTACTGGCCGTACGATCAGGTCGTCACTGAATGCTTAATACTAGGCCGCGAGCTATGCAGGTGATCAATTGTGCATCATGGCATGGTCAGCTGCGCCGACAGGCTGTCGCAAGGCGTGATAGCATGGCCGCAAGTACGCCGAATTCCCATGAAAACAAGTAAAAAATCGCGAAAAAAGAAAAAAACTCCAAAAAATCGGCGCCTGCGGCGGGCCATGGGACCCCATCTCCCCCCCGCATGGACACCCTCTGGGCCCCCCGCGCCGGCCCAGAAAGCACTTGGAGTGCAGTCCTCAACCTCACATCCAGGGCCGGGGAGCTAAGAAGCGCACCCAGCGGGCCGGATGATCGGCATCGGGTTACGGGCTAGAGAGCCCTAGCCCTGGGGGGTGCGCGTTCGCAGGGAAAGGGCCATAAAGTAAACACGGTTCTCCGAGGGTTGGACCCGCGTACCGGGTTTCCCCTTAACTGCAGGACGCCCCCTCTACTGACTACTCGGAGCTAGTGGATCTTGTTTTGTCGCTTTCTCTCGTAAAACTTGGAGCACTTGGAGTGCAGTCATTAACCGCACATCCAGGGCCAGGGAGCTAAGAAGCGCACCCAGCGGGCCGGATGATTGGCATCGGGTTGCGGGCAAGAGAGCCCTAGCCCCGGGGGTGCGCGTTCGCAGGGAAAGGGCCGTCCGTAAAATAAACACGGGTCTCCGAGGGTTAGTACCGCGCTCCAGGTTTCCCCTACCTAGCAGCAGAACGCCCCCTCTACTCGGAGCTAATTAATAAACACCAGACAAGGACACGCGACGACACACACTCCCCCTTGGCGACGGCGTCGTTAAAACGCTTTCTCTCTGGTGTACCTGTGTTAGTGCCAGTGCGCGCCAGTCCCGTGCCCAGTAAAAGAAAGAAAGAAAACACACAACCCAAGGGAGGGATGGGAGAACGGCACGCCGCCACCACACAGGGATTTTAAGGAGAGGAGTGTGATGCGCTAGCCGTCGCCCACCCTGGGGAGTCTGCCTCTTCGTATCTCTTTTCGCAGTCTCTCGCCGCTTCTCGCTGCAACCTTCATGCCACCTCGCGGCCGTCCCACTGTTCTGCGAGGGAGAAGTTGTAAAATTCTTTGGGGCGCCCCGGCTTCACCCTTGGGTTTCTTGCCGTCGTGCCTGGGCACTCCCAGCGGATCTCACCTAAAGTAGCCCCTCGTCGGTGCCTTGTGTCCCGCGGCCCACACGCCTCCCGAATGCTTGCGGCACCGTCGCCGCCGCACTTTTCTGATCAACCACCTCACCCTCCCTTGCGCAGGCCGGTCGGAGGCCGTCTGAGACCTCTGTGCGGACCGCGCGCAGCCCTGTGGCCTCTGCGCGCTGTCGAGAGCAGCTTGGCAGGCATGGCCGACGAGACAGCGGCTGATCAGGCGCGCCTCACCCGCTCACAACCCACCACCAGACCCAGCCCGACCTGCACGCCAGCGGAGAGGCGGCTCGGCGCCATGCAGCGCCGGGCAGAGCAACCAGCACCCCATCGTGCGGCGGCGCACGCACGCCGCAGGTGGCTACACTGCCCGAGGCGCTGCTGCTCTGGGCCGAGAGCGACTCCATCCAGCCACCATCTCTGCACTCACATGATCGCTAGTACTCTACGCAGCACACCCACCGACAATGGCGGCTCTGCCGACCCAGGGGCCACGCCGCAGCGCAGCGCTCACCCTCACCGCTGCTGCTCCGGCAGGCGTCTGCCCGGACCTGGGCGCTTCTGCTCCTGCAGACGAAGCTGGCGGGCGAGGTGGCGAGGCACCGCCAATGTGCCGAGGAGCTTCGCCACCTTGCGCGAGAGCAGGTGGCGCGCGAGGTGCGTATTCAGAACCTCGAGCAGCAGCTGGCGCAGGCCGTAGCGGCATGCCGCTATGATGCGCGCAGAGAGAGCCGTGAGATTGCGCGGCGCGTCGCCCCTCTCCTCCTGGGCGACAAGGAACTGCGCCCGTTTCAGCTCGACGCGGCATGCGCGCTCTTTGACGGGCGACATACTTTCGTGCTCCGGAAGGCAGGCGATGGGAAAAGCGTGTGCTATCAGCTTCCCGCGCTCATGCGGCCGCCCACGCCAAAGCCTGCGCCGCCCAAGCTTACCCTCGTCGTGATGCCGCTGGTGGCTCTCGCGTGGGAGCAGGCGGACGAGCTCAATTCGCGCATACCCTACCTCGCCAGCGACGGTTTGCCCCGGAAGGTCGCGCACGTCCTCGACGGCGCGTCGCAGAGCCTCTTTGCCTCTTGAGAGCGCTGCAGCAGCGTGAGCTCGGCGCACACGAACGCCATGAGCCCAGCACGTTCCTTAGCAAGGCGATCATACACCTGCGTCATGGTTACGGTCAGGGTGAGGGTGAGGGTCAGGGTGAGGGTCAGGGTCAGGGTCAGGGTCAGGGTCAGGGTCGGTCACGGTCACGGTAAGGGTCGGAATTAGGGTCAGGGTCGGGGTCAGGGTCAGGCGCTCGCCTGCGCGGTCGGCAGCCCGCTCACCAGCTTGCGTGTAGCCTCGTTGAGGACAATCACCACAACATCAAGCATCGTGCTGCTCCTCTCCTCTTCGCGACGCTCTGCGGCGCACTCCTCCATGGACTGCTCGCGGCGCCGCTGTCTCTTCTGCGACGGCGCGGGCGAGTTGCGCGTCGCAATGCGCTTGGTCGGAACGCAAGCACCGAGAGCAGAGCGTCCCCCCCCCGCCGCGAGTCTCGCCGACGCCGCCTGCACGTCGGCGAGTCTCGCCGCCGCCTGCGCGTCGGCGAGTACGTCGTCGGCAGCGGTGGCAATCATCTGGACATCAAGGCCTGCCGTGCGCGAGGTCTCCGCGGTCGACGCGGCGGCGAGCGCCTTGAGCAACGGCAGGAGCCCGTTGGCGACGAGCTCGTTACCAGCAGCATCGAGCATGTCCTTGGCCACATGCTGCGCAGCGGCCACCGTATCAGCAGCAAGCATCTCGTGCAGCACGTTCTGGACCTTTGCCGACGCCTGGCTGCGCCGCTCTCGCCGTGCTGCGGCCTGCGCAGCGTCAGGGCAAAGACGCCACAATCGCGACTGGCGATCCCCCACCCGCGACACGCCTTGGGCCGAGCCGGTGCGCTGCAGCTGCCACAGCTCGTTCAGTGCGGAGTCCACCTCGTCCTCGGAGAGGTCGCCCTCGTACGGCACGTCGCCATTCTCGACTGCGAGCCGCAGCAGCTCAGCAATCCGCTGCGCAGGCAGGTAACCCGCCACGCCGGCCGAGTCATCCCCGCTCTGCTGCTCATCGTCAAATGCGGCGGGGTCGCTCTCGGCCCAGAGCAGCAGCGCCTCGGGCAGTGTAGCCACCTGCGGCGTGCGTGCGCCGCCGCACGATGGGGTGCTGGTTGCTCTGCCCGGCGCTGCATGGCGCCGAGCCGCCTCTCCGCTGGCGTGCAGGTCGGGCTGGGTCTGGTGGTGGGTTGTGAGCGGGTGAGGCGCGCCTGATCAGCCGCTGTCTCGTCGGCCATGCCTGCCAAGCTGCTCTCGACAGCGCGCAGAGGCCACAGGGCTGCGCGCGGTCCGCACAGAGGTCTCAGACGGCCTCCGACCGGCCTGCGCAAGGGAGGGTGAGGTGGTTGATCAGAAAAGTGCGGCGGCGACGGTGCCGCAAGCATTCGGGAGGCGTGTGGGCCGCGGGACACAAGGCACCGACGAGGGGCTACTTTAGGTGAGATCCGCTGGGAGTCCCAGCTGTGTGCTGGGGCGGGTCCCCAAGGGTGAACGCCCCGGCCAGGGTTGGCAAGCGCCACCGTCCACAAGGCACAGCTCAGCTGCAAACCATAAATGCACTCTCACTCTACCTGGACCCGTCGCCGCCGGCCGCTCTCACAGCGTCCGTCGTCGTTCGTGCTGGTCGGCATCGACTCCGCCAGTAAAAAAGGTGAGGCGGCCGTGCGACGGCTGACGGCTGAAAGTCCACCGAAAGCTGCGTCGCTCATTCGTCACCGTGTCTTGGCGCGGCAGATGATGCCCTTGGCCGTCGCCGCCTTCGCTGCCATCGCCGCCGCCACCGCCGCTGTCCTTCTGCGCGTGCTGGATCCAGCCGTGACCACAGTGCCAATGACCCGAGTGAGCCGTCCAACGGCAATGGAGGTGGAGGAGACGGCAGAGGCGGTGGCAGTGGCGGCGGAGGAGGCGGAGGCTGTGGTGGTGGCGGCTGTTGAGGTGAGGAGGGCTGCTGCGGGAAACGCGTGCGCGGGCTCGCCGCTCGTCGTCTCCCGGCCAGATCTGAACCAGGACTCGGAGGGAGGCCGCTGCGTGCAGAGCGCATCCAACGCGAGCGCCCTCCCCTCCTCGCAAGAGCTGCCTGGTTTAGCCCCAGCCGCTTCGTCTGTGAGGTTTCGCGGCATCTCAGTCAGCACTGCAGCTGCCTCACCCCGGGTCGCATCCCACACAAGCAGCTGTGAGCGGGTCCAGACCAGGCAGGCGGCGCGGCGCGGCGAGGAGGCGGCGGACACGGAATGGGCAGGGGGGGGCATCTCTCGGCGGCCTGCAAGCGTGAGTGGTCACGGCGGCAACGGTGCTGGCAGCGGCGGTGGCGAAGGCGGTGGCGACGGCGACGACGGTGGTCCATACAAGCAGCAGCCTCGTGGGGGTAGTGCTCGCCAGGCCGCCATCGCTGCGGGTGGCGGCGCCGTGGCCGCCGTCCTCGCCACGGCTCTCTCGGCCCAGCGTCGTTCCCTCGCCGTGAGTGCCCGAGATTATCCAAGGATGTCGCTTCCGCCCCACCGACTCTCCTCGCTTCCGCCGCCGCCATCACCGCCGCCGCCATCACCGCCGCCGCCATCACCGCCGCCGTCACCGCCTCCGCCTCCGCCTCAGCCTCCGCCTCAGCCTCAGCCTCAGCCTTCGCCTTCGCCTTCGCCTTCGCCTTCGCCTTCGCCTTCGCCACCGCGACCACCACCGCCGCCACCACCGCCGCCACCACAACTGCTGCCGCCGCCCCCCCCACCGCCGCCGCCACCAATGCCACCGCCGCCGCCAAGAACACCATCGCCGCGAAGGCAAGCGTCACGACGGCCGCTAGCGCCTCCGCCTTCGGCAGCGCTACCGCGCCCGCCACCGCGCCCGCCACCGCGCCCGCCACCGCGCCCACCACCGCCTCCGCCACCGAGTCCGAAGGCGAGAGCATTCTCGGCGCTGCCCGCGCCGCCGGCAGTGCCACCCGGCGAGGAGGGCGTGAGGGGGGTCGTGCGCGGCCGTCCCCGCTCTGGTGCTCGTCCGCCTCCACCTCGCTACGCCGCGGCGCTCGCCAGGATCGCGCCCTAGATGCGGAACGGATCCCACATCGCCCCGTATCTCCCCCATATCTCGAGCCCTAGATGCGGACACGCTCTGTATTCCGACAGACGACACGTACTCGACCAACCGTGCTCCGCTGTATACCCGTAGCCCGTGCACATGCGGTGCTCGGAATGCCGGACGGTGTGCTGCATTCACAACGTATAGGCTCGCGGCCCGCGCCGCGAGCAGAGCTGCGCTGCGCCTCGTCCGCGGGCTGAACCGCAGAGCCTCTCGCCTCCTGTCCGGCGGGGGAGCGGCCAGCCTGCTCGCTCTCGCGGCGGCGGTGGCGCTTCGCGACGCGTGGCGACAGCAACGTCTCGACCTCCTACTCTCCCAGCCGGATTTGGTCGGCAGCGTCGGCCTGCTTGCTGTCGCAGCCTTATCGGCGACGGCGGGGCCGCCGCCTGGCATCGCTACCGCTCTGGCAATGGCTGTGGCCGTGGCCAGCGGCGGGTGGGAGGCTATGCGTGCGCTACTCCGTTCTCTCCCTCGCGACCGTTGAGTACCACTTGTGCATGTGACATGTACATGTTGTTGTTAAAAAAAGTTGGTTCTTGACTTCAAAGTCAAATCTCAAAAAACACCATTTAGGCTAGTGCCATTTCACTCTGACACGCTAATCTTGAAAACGTCTCCAACGGAGCTCCGTGTTGCTTCCAGCGCCCTCCCCCGCGCTCCCTGCGGCCATGGCCGATGCTCCTAGAAAGAGAGGTCATCTGGCTACCGCGAGAGCGACCCAACTCGTCGACATCGTCCGATGATGGTGCCGCAAAGTCAGCCTTCGGAGGCTATCGTGGGGTCGAGCCGCCGGCAGTAGCCGTGACATGTGGTTCCACCACCCCTCGTAGGCTTTGCCTCTGACCGCCACCGTTCCCAGGCTGCCTAATTGGATGGAAAGGAAGGCTCGGCGAGCGTATAGAAGCGTGCTCGACCTCGTCGTGGCAACCTGTACGGCAGCGCTGGTAGGCGCGATGAGCGTCGTGCCACCTGACCCGAGACGGGTCGCAGGCGTCGTACCGAGCGCGTCGAGACCGTGTCCTGATGTGATCTGCACGGGTGAGTCACGTCGGCGTCAAAGGAGCGACGTGCGACCTGTCAGAGCTTGATCTCCAATCTCAGCGGCGTCGAGTCGTCTCCGGCGGCGACAATTTTGTCCCTCCCCAGGACGCACAGAGGCAGCTGAGATTGGAGATCAAGCTCTGACAGATCGAATTCCTGCTGCCGGGGGAACCCGTCTACTCGGCGGGGTCGCAGCTGCCTCTGGATGTCTGGAAGGCACCGAGATGTACCTTTTTGCGCAAATGGTCAAATCAAGGTTTTGTAACGCGAGCTGTGCCACAGTGAAATGGCACTAGCCGTACGGCAAAAAACGCCCGCTGGCAGCTGGCAACCCTAGTGGCAACCCCTTGGTTGGGGTGGTACGTACGTACGGCGGCCTAGACGGGGGACGACGGCGGCTGGCGTTCGCGAGGCCCCCGGCCCCGCCCGCCAGGCGCATACGATTTACGAATGCATGTTACACCGTGCGCATGTTCGAGCATGTGCATGTGCATGTGTGCATACGATTAGAGGTTTGATCTCGCCCCCCGCGCGGACCCGGACGGCGACCGCGTGCGGCGAGATGCGCTCATCCGAATTAAGGCGGTCCACCGCACACTACACACGAGCATGGTCCACGCTCTCACTCGATCTCACGACTCACCTCTGCGCTCTGGACAGGATAAGCACGTCCGTCTCATACAAACTTGTCTGCCAAGAACTTGGCCATGACAGCGACTCCGAGAAGGCCAAGGGCCGCCGCAGCCCATGTTATTGGCGCGCGGATCGCCGTGCGTAGCTTCTCCCCGGCGAGGATGAAGGTGACCGAGGGCACGATGAGGAAAATAAGGTCCCCAGAAGTCGAGCCGAGAAAGTCGACGACGGTGCCAAGGTCGGAGACGAACAGTGCGATTCCGACGACGACAGAAACGTACGCAAGCACGGCGACGCGGTCGAGGGTGGACGTGATGAAGAGCGAGTCCCCGAGCGCTTCGGTCTCGGGCGCCTCCTTGAGCGAGATTACCGTGCTAAAGGTTGCGAGCGTCGCAGGGAGGTTGGTGCTGAGCGAGCTGCTAATCGTCATTTTGATGCTGCGCTGCGGCCCGATGCGCTCCTCCTTCCGCTTCGTGCACATCTCGATCACTGAGACGACGTTGAGGCGAGACGGGTAGGCCTGCAACGGCACGGTGCTAAGCACGGCGACGGCGAGCGCGACTCTCACGGCGGCAACCGCAACAGAATCCGCCGGGTAGGAGTTGAGCACGTTGCTCGAGACGAGGCTGCCAAACGTGAGGTATCCGGCTGTGGCCACGATGGAGTAAAAGGAAAAGATTAGTGCCATTGCCAGGCCAACTGTCTTGGCCTTTCGCACCGGGGTCGGCTCCTCCAGCTCCGCCAGGATGGTGAACGTGTTGTGAACGCAAAAGTAGGCCAGGATGAAGGAGGGCAGCTTGCCGAAGCACTGCGCCGTCGAGCCGAGCAGCACGATCTCCGATGTACACGTTCCCGCTGGATCGTCCAAACACGCCGCCTTGCAAGGCGACGACATGAACACCGAGGATGCGGGCGGGTCGCTGACCCCCTGTCCGCCGCAGGGGTCGAGCAGGGAAGGCGCGACGTAGAAGCTGAGGATCGTGGTCACGGCGAGCATGAGGCAGCTCACCGAGAGGAGCGAGACGATACGCAAAGAGTCCATCGAACGCAGGAAGCAGAGGGGCACATAGTAGCACGCCGACGCGAGGAGAAAGACCTTGCGCGGGATCTGAGGGAAGGTGCTCGTGACATTGTCTGCGGCGACGATCACGTACGTCAGAGCCGCGCCAATCACAAAGACGACGTGATTGAGTGCCCCGCCCGGAGCTAAGAAACCACGGCGTGGGGTGGATGAGGGCTGTGGAAAGGCTTAGAAACGGCGGCGTGCCGCGGAATCCTGTTTTCTTAATGCCCGCAACCCACTGTATGAGGTGGCGTGGGGGTGACGAGTTCCTTACGGTCCGACGCGCGACGGCTTCGCCGCCGGGCAGAATACAAAATCTTATTTCTGCCAGAAGGTAGAGCGCGCTTTACAAGAATAACACCTGGTCTTTCCTTCCCAACATTTTGGATTTTTGCGGGGTTCCCTTTGGAAGACGGTACCATACCCCGCAAAAAGTTGGAAGCCAGCAGGAGCGATCGCAAGATCGCTCTGTGCGGCATCAGCACGATCGCTAGATCGCTAGGCACCATCACCTCGAGCAGCATGGGCGACGAGGCCCACGCCGCAGACGACGAGACTGAGAACACGTTGTACGCCGTCCTGCTGTGCAACCCTGCGGCCACGCACGAGGAGCTGCGGAGAGCCTACAAGGAGCAGGCGCTGCATTGGCACCCAGACAAGAACGACGACCCCGAGGCGGAGGAGCGCTTCAAGCTCATCAGCACCGCGTGGAGCATCCTCTCGGACGACGCCAAGCGGGCGGCGTACGATGCGAGCCTCGCAAGAGGCGCCGCCGCAGAGCAGGACTACTACAATACCGCCTTTGGCGCGGATTGTAGCCGCGCGTTCGACGCGGACGCGGCGCGGGAGGCGTGGCAGGCCTTCGTGCGCGCCGAGGAGGCGGCGCGGAGGCGGCGGGCGAGGAGGGAGCGCGGCTTGCTGGTTGGCGTGGTGAGCCTTGCGGTCTGGTCGGTGCTCGCCCTGGTCGGTGCGCAACTCGCGTGCGGCGGCGACGCGCTGCTCTTCCCGCGCGCGCTGCAGGCGTCCAACGGCGACGGCGAGCTGGCGCTCGCCAAACTCTCCCTCGACGTGAGCACACTGCGGGCGAGGCTGGTGGCGAGGCACGAGGCGGCGGCGCTGCGCGGGTGGCACCGCTCGCTGCTTGGCTCACGGGCCGGCCTCCTCCTCCGCACGCACACGCCGTACCTCCGCATCGCCATCAACGGCAGCGCCGACCTGCGCCGCGCGCCGGACGTCGGCCGGAGAGGCGGTCGCGGCTGGCTGCTCGTCTCGTCGAGCAGCGGAGAGGACATCTACGGGAGGGAGAGGCGCGTGCGCACAAACACGTTCCTCTACTTCCCAAACGAGGCGCCGCGCCCGTGGCCGCCGCCCGCGGCGCTCTGCGTGCGGCTCCTCCAGTCGGGCAGCATCCGCGAGCGGGGCTGGTGGGACGACATGTCGAGACAGCTCGGGGGCCGGCTGCGCGGCTTTGGGCTCGCGGTGGTCCCGGGCTCGGAGTGCGCTCCCGAGTACGGCCTCCTCACCCTCGCGGGCGGCACGGCCTGCGCGCTCGTCGCGGCGCGGCTCACCGCCCGCGCCGCGACCCGCGGTATGGAGTCTTGAGTCTTGACGTACGAGATACGAGCGTCGACTCGGCTATGGCTTCTCTCGTACTGTTCTGTGGTAGAAGAGGCCTCCGCTACCCGCGGTACTCGTAGTCCTAGACTCGTAAAGTTTCTTTCACACAACACATGGATTATGGTACAGCCCGTCAGAGCCTCAGAGAGGTGCAGGGGTGGTGTCAGAGCTGTGACTTCCCCCTGCAGCAGCGTCTCTGAGTCTGAGAGCGCGCGCTCTCTGTCTCACAGCCAGGTCACAGCTCTCCGTGGCGGTCACAGATACTTTTCCCATGCAGAGGCGACCGCCGAGTGTGGCCGCAGCCTGTACGCAGACAGCTTTTGCCGCATCATGTCCGCTGGCCGCGGCTCGAGAGGCTCTCGCAACAGGCGCATACCAGACTGCTTGAGCGACAGTGCACCCTTCCTAGCGTTGCACTTGGCGCAGCAGGCAACCATGTTGGTCCACGTGTCCCTCCCGCCGTCGCTCTTCGGAATCACGTGATCAACCGTTCTGGCAACGCCGCCACAGTACTGGCAGACACATGCGTCGCGCTGTAGGATACGTGGGCGGGTCGAGTTGCCGGTTCGGCGCGGCTTCCCGATGGACTGGTATTGCGTGAGCACTATCACGGCGGGCGCGCGGAGGGAGAGCTTCTCCGAGAAAAGCAGGATGTCGGTGCTCTCCACCTCGTGCGCCTTGTTCTCTCGGAGGAGCAGAGCGCCGCGCACCGGGTGGCAGGCGGAGAGTGGAGAGTAATCTGCGTTGAGGACGAGCGTGCGCAGCCGCTTCGAGGCCAGCGCGGCGGCGGCCTTGGCGGGATGCATCGCAGCTTGCTCGGGTCAATCACCGGCCGCGAAACAACGCGACAAATAAAAAACTTTGCGTAGAATTGCTTCGCCGGTGTGTGGTGGCGGCGTGCCGTCCTCCCATCCCTCCCTTGGCGTGTTTCTTTCTTTCTTTCTTTGCTCTCGCCCGTGCTTTGATAAGAAACAAAGAAAGTTCAGACCAGGCGCGCGCAAAGTACTTACTGCATACTGGAAGAACCTCCCACCATCCCTCCCTTGGGTTGTCCGTTTTCTTTCTTTACTTACTGGAAGAACCCGACCGCCACGCGACGCGTCACTTTCGCACTGCCGGCCTTCACCTCTTGCATGCCGTGCTTCCACTCGACCGCGCCGTGGCCCTGGCGGCCGCGAAAGAGGAGCAGCTCGCCCGCGGCGGCAAAGGGGAAGGGCTGCGTTTCAAACGGTGGGTTGGCGTCGGCCAGGTAGAATTCGCCACCCGTATAGTCGACGCCCGGCTGCGAGAGGAGGAGCAGGGCCTGGAAGTCGCCGCACGAGTCGCGGTGCGCGAAGTTGATGCCGCCCAACCCGTACCGCAGCAGCAGGGCCTTGGACTTGTCCAGCGCGTCCTTGCCAGACATGGTCACAGTGACGTCCGTCCCGCCCCTCTTTTCCTTCCTCTTCACCTCGCAAAGCGGGCCTGCATGGTCGATGAGCCATTTCCGCGCCGCGTCCTGGCAGCGCTGCAGGAGGTCTGGCAGCGGCTTCGTCAGATCCGCGTACTCTCCGGCGTACCCGTTCCCTTGTGAGTGATCCAGCCTGCGCGGCGCCTTCTTGTCCGTCTTCTGTGTGGACAGTTGGTGAAGGACGGTGCTCACCTCCGCCGGATTGAGCAGCTGGACCAGCAGCGCGCCATCTCGCAGCAGGTCGGCCGCGTTATCCGGGAAGCGCGTGTACAGTGCTTTAAGCGAGGGCGGCGCCGCCACCACATCGGGCGCCGCATCAGACGGAAGCTCCGGCACGATGAAGTCGCCCTTTTTCGGCGGTAAGCAGAGCTTGTCGTACGGAGCTTTGCCGAGTGCCTCTCTTAGCGCACCGCAGACGGTTGGCCGTGTTCCATCGTTCATAGCCACCGGATAGCGTCCGCCGTGCTGCCGCGTGAGGATCTCGACGACGTGCTCGCCCTTCATCTTTTTCTCGCCGCTCCGCCGCAGGTCGCTGGCGTACTCGCGAGTGACGTCCTTGAGGTCGCGCTTCATCATGGGGGAGGGGCGCGGATGCCCGCGCACCGATATTTCTTTTCTTGAAGGTCGATTTAAGAAGAAAACGCCTGATTAACCCTAATCCTAACTCTAATCCTAACCTAAAAGGTGGGGTGCTAGTCTGGGACCCATACGTGGCAGTTCCCTTGCTCCAAGCGCTTGCGCTTCGGCGGTAGTGATCTAGTCACCCGAATACCACGTTCGGATCCTCCTCATCGCAAACCCTGTCGAAAGTTCACCTACGGGTATCTTAAAAGAGCTAATAGAAAGAGAGAAACCAGGCCGGAGGTGCCGTCGCGCGCCAAAGCGCTTGGGTGTGCCTTTATATGCTGTCGGCAGAGCATCTCGAGTGCCCCGTGTGTCTCGAAGTCCGCGACGGGCACATCCACCAGTGCCAAGCAGACCACCTCGTCTGCGCCGAATGCGACCGCGGCCTGACCACGCGGCTGTGCCCGACGTGCCGCGAGCCCCTCCACTCCCTTGCGCAGCCAAACCGCAACCGCTTCGCTGAGCGAATGATCGCGCGGCTGCCGGCGGCATGCGACCACTGCGGCGCGGCGACAACGCGCGGCGACAAGGCCGGCCACGAGCTGGACTGTCCACAGCGGTGGCTTTCGGAGGGTGCGGCAGTGTGTCGATGAGGGAGCGCTATTGGGAGGCCTTGGCGTCAAGCCAAAGCCAAAGCCGGTAGTGATCAAGAAGTGGTGCGAGGAGATCAAGGTCGGCACGTGGATGTCTGGCGATGGCACGGTCGTCTTTGAGCCGGACATCTTCCACTGGGTGCCACCGCGGGAGGTGCCGGGCGTCGGCATCGTCACCCTCAAGATGCGGACGTCGAGCATTAGTCAGGCTGTCTTTGACAAGCGGAGCAACGTGCTCAAGGTCCGCGGCCTTGTGGAGGTGCCAATGGACAAGCTCGTACGCTACTACGACTGCTTCGCCAGCCCCGGTGGACCGCCCCGCGCCCTCTCCGCCACCGCAACGCGACCCACTTTGCCCCCCCCTTCTGTTGCAGACTCGCCCAAGGGCTACCTTTGGCTCACGTTCCAAAACTACGAGGAGTTCACCGAGGTGATCAAGGCGGTGCCGCGGCTGAAGGCGAGGATCACCTTCCGGAACTCGCTATTCGCTGCTACGAGCCGCGGCGGCGGCTCCGGCGGCTCCAGCGCCGAAGCGCGGAGGAACGCGGTGGAGGAGAACTCCTCGACTGATGAGGAGGACCTTCCACTTAGTAGGCGCCTGTTATCGAGATAGATGCCGCGCCCAGAACTGACATCTGTCCGAGGGCGAGCGTAAAGCCGTATGCTGTGAAATTTACGTTAAAATTCTTTTTTAGTGCTGTGAGAGCGCGGCTTGTATTTTAAGAATTCTTTTTATATTCTCGGTTCTCCACGGCAGCTGCTTGAGCATCCCCTCCCGCGCCCATGGCCTGATGCACGTGCCTCCCACACACTGCACCCCGTTGTTCTTCTTCTACGCGGGGTGTGGAGGGTGAGTCGTTGACGGTTGTGCGCCGGGCCCTCCTGCTCGGCTCCAGCCAGTAGACAAGTCTTCTCATCAACAGAGTAGATGGATCTGACCTCAGGGCCGATGTGACCAAGCGCTGGTAGCGTGGTTTAGCCTCACACCCATGGTCTCACAGTGTGCCGGCAGTCGCCGAGCACTGTCGCTCACCACAAGCCGCAGCACAAGTGACTGAGGGCCAGTGAGGGCGAGCCCATCGCTGTGACAGCTGTGGCAGCCGCACAGTAGGCTGTGTCAACTGTGCAGAGCGTGTGAGCAGCAGAGGAGCTGCTCTCCAGGCTTCTGGCGCAAAGAGCTGCATGCCACCGAAGGCGCTGTCGAGGTTCGCCGAGCGCGGCGAAATCGCTAAAATCTGAGGATTGAGGATTCAGACTTCGCTTTAGTGGGCCAAAGTGAGTTTATGGATGTGTGAGAACGATGCGCGACACGAGGAGTCACGCGGACCGACTCGTCGGTGACTCTGCTGCACGCCGTTTCAGAATTTTTCTCAGCGTGAGCGAGACGTGGAAGAGTGCCACCGTCGGGTAGGACAGGTCGGCCCGGAGCAGCGGAGTAGCCGTCGTGGTCGCGGCGAGCAGCGCCGGCCACTCCGGCGCCGCGTCGGCAATGTGGGAGCATGTCCACCGCCACTTCGCGGTCGCAGCGCTGTTGTCGCCCGAAACGCCGCATATCCCTCTGGCGGGCCAAAGATCGACTCGCATGTCGATTTTGACTCGACGGCGGCATGGAGGCATCACGTCTCCATGCCGCCGTCAAGTCGGAGCCAGTCTACAGCGACCACAGCGCTCACCGCAGGGATATGGCTAGCTTTTCAGTATTCAGAGTCAAGTTGCTTGCGCGAAATCCCACATTTTGGTGGATTTTGGGCGCTGTGGCCCCAAAGAACGCCCTACCGAGGGTGTGGGGGGGGCGCACTCTTCGTACTTCGACTTGGGCTATTATCTGCCACACCGGGAGGGCGGCCGCGGCGGTCGGTGGCACAGGCGACAAGTCTTCAAGGCACACAAGGGGTGAGGTGTTTTTCGCGCAGCTGGGCCCCAAGACGACAGCGCCCCCCTTCCCGGGTGCGCGGTGAGCTGCCGTGGGCGTGCTGCGCGTCGGGGAACGCCGGGAGTTGGCAGAGGTGTTGCTCGTAGCTTCAGCTAGCCCCAGAAGAAGCCAGGTTTCCCACAGCGGCGCCGCGCGTGTGCCGCTGCGGGCGTGCGAGCGGGTTGTGCCAGCGCGTCGCTCGCACGGACCGCGGCTGATAACCCTGTATTGTGAAACGCCGAGGGCGGCACACAAGGCACACAGTAGCACAACCGAGCCACGTGGCCGCTCTCATCCCTCCTTCCGGGCTGGAAGGTGCTCACTACCCGTGGCCCGACGCGAGTCGCAAGCGGCGACGGTCTTCGGCGGCGGCGTCTCCAGTGTCGCGTCGCGGCGAGCGGAGACCCAGGCGCGCCGGCGCCGTAGCCCCACGCTGCGAGGGGGCGGTCGATTTACGCTCAAGACACATGTATAGGTCTCTACTCGTCGCGGCGCGACAACTCCTCCACGCACGCCGCCCGCACCTCTGCCGACACCACCACCGCACCCTTAGCCACCGCCTCGGCCTTGGCCTCAGGGAGCCCCCAGGCCTTCTTCTTCTTCTTCCCCGCAGCCCGCTGCGCAGGTACGACAGCCAGCGGCATGGCGAACCCGGCGTGAAGGATGAGGTGCGACGGGATGCGCACCCGCCCTCCCGCCGCGCCCTCCTCAAAAGGAGTCATCCAGTTGCTCACGCCAGGGACCTTGTTGTAGTACCAGGCGTCGATGACGAGGCTCCCCTTCTCTAGCTGAATCGCCTTGCCGTCTCCGCCCTCAAGCTCCTCGAGCTCCACGTCCGCGTCGAGCCGGTACGCCGGCCCTAGCGCCCGCGCGTAGTAGACCTCGTCCGCCGTTGCAAAGGCAATGTTATCGCCCGCCACCAACCCGCTCACCACCCCGTCGGTCCGCGCCTCGAGCTGCAGCTGCGCGTCCTCCTCGATGAGCTCCTCCGACGCCCCGTCCTTGCTCACTAGCTCACACAGTTTCCAGTCGTTGTCGCGCCCAAAGGCTGCGGCGTGCACGCAGTCGTCGTGCGGCTGATAGCGCGTCGCGATCGGCCGCGCCAGGGCCCGGCGGCAGCCGTCGCAAAGGCACCCGAGCCGCCGCGCGGCAATGACGTACTTCCCGTCCTTCTGCAGGTCGGGGTCGGCCCGGAAGTTGTTGTGGCCGAGCGTGGCTTTGATCCTCGAGTCCTCGCCCTCCTCCGCGTCGGCAGCCAGCGCGGCGGTCATCTCCTTGATGGCGGGCGCGTCACGAATGTCGTGCTCCTCGTAGGTGCGCACGTGCCGCGCGGCGGTGTTCGACTTCTCGCGCCGCTTGGAGTTCATCCCGGCCGGCTTGAGGTCGCCAAAACCCTCACGCGCGCGCTTCGCGCACGCATCTGCGAAGCTGACAGCCTCTCCCTCCCTTGCGTCAGACGAGGCGACGACCGACTCGTCCCCCTCCATGAAGTCCGACCGCATCATCTCGCCGGTGAGCCAGTTCTTAAACACGCCCCCGTGCCCGTCCGCCTCGTCCTTGCCGTGCCCCGTGACCTCCAGCATCTGGTCGATGGTCACACGCTTCCCTTTCGCCCGCAGGTCAGCGACTAGCACGCAGAGCAGGTACATGGCTTTGCTGCACTTGTACTGTTTAGCGCACCCGTCCGTCTTGAGCCACACAGTGCCCCCGTCTAGTAGCACATTCGCTTGCAGCAGCTCATCCAGCATGACACGCATGTTGTGCGTCGTCACTTTGGCCTCTTGCGCCTTGTAGTCAGAGCAGTGGTAGTAGATCTGCTTCTCTAGCACACCGAGCGAGTCGAGCTCCTTGCCCCGCTCCTCAGGCGACATGGAGGCGAGCCCGGCCAGCACCGGGTCGTCCGCCGGGATCGTCGCCTTGAACCCCTCAGCCACAGCCACCTCGATAGTGATAGCGGTATTGACCCAATGCTCAGTCTGAATCTGCGTCCTGCGCAGGCGGTTGAGTTTCTCCGAGTAGTCCATGATCAGCGAGAGGTCACCTTTCCGAATGGCCGCCCTGTCTTTGCGCACCATCCAGGTCCACTTTGCCATCTGGTTGTGAAAGCAGAAGTATTGCAGTTTCTCTCGGTACTGCTGCATGAATTCGCCGATAGGCACGGTCTTCTCGACCAGCATCAGCTTCGACGTCTTCTTGCGGTCGCCAGTGGTCTCGTCGACGTACGACGTCTCCACCTCACGTGTCTCATACACCTGGTGTGTGACGCGGTAGGCGGTCGCCGACGTGTCCTCCTCGCGCGGGCTCGTCTTCATCTTGGACACCCCGCAGTGCTTGCAGCGGCCGAGTATGCACCTGAGAGAGAGCGCTTACTGTAACGTGTAGCGCTACCGTAGCGGGGTTGGTTTTTTTGCCGGTGGCAGGTGCCCCTCGAGCAAATGTGTCGGAGAGTATCCGCCTAGAGTGTTTCTACTCATAATAATGTTCGAAGCGATTCGGGTGTGTGGTTTTGGATTTTTAGCGTAAAAACAACAGCTTGGGTCCATCTTCTCTGGCTACAGGCTGTGACAGCGAGAATAGAGTGAGCCACGACCGAAATTGCATCTACGGCGCACGTCAGGCTCGCCGAGCCCGTCGCGTCGCATGGCTGGCACAGCGAGGCAGCGACGGCGTCCTTGGGCGCGGCGTGGTCGTACGCGGCCGTGTAGCCGGCGCCGTGCCGCTTGGCGAGCGACGCGCGCGCCCGGTTCAGGGCCTGGTGCTGGAGCCGGAACTCGATGCAGTACCTAGGAGAAGCACGCAGAAGATTCACGCACGGGCAGGCACGTGGCAGCGCGGCGCGGTGCGCGCGCCGGCAGCCGCACATGTCCAAGTGGCGCTTGGTCATGCGCCGCAGCTCGCGTGGCCTCAGCTTCCGGAAGGCAGCCTCGCCAATGATGACGGTCGGGTTGGCCTTTTTGAAGTCGAGGTACACGTCCGTCAGCGAGACCTCGCTCAACAGCTTGGGCACGAAGATGTCCTCGCCCTGGTCGTCCTTGAATTTCAGCACGTCGGACTTGATGGGCGAGCGCTTGATCGAGGGGTGCGCCACGTAGAACTCGAGCACCATGCGCTTCACCTCGTCACTGTGCCGGTGGCCGAGCAGCGTCCGCGTTGCAAGCCAATACGCCCGCAGCTCGGGGTCATCCAGCTTGCGCCGCCGCTCGAGGGCCGCAACGAGGCGGCGGTGCGTGGTGGACGGCGACATGCCGAGCAGCTCAGCGATCTCGCGCACGCGCGACACCTTGGCGACCGGCACCTCGCCGCCGTCCGCCTTCGCCTTCTTCGCGTGTCGGCCGCGCTGCAGCGCCTCGCCCTCCTCCTCCTGCGCCAGAAAGACGAGCAGTGTGTCGACCGCCTGATGCTCATCGTTCGACAGCGACCCGCGCGACCGCTTCCCGTCCGTCGCGAAGATGCCCGCGAGTGACTTGCGCACGCGCCCGAGCAGCTCCTCAGCCAAAGAGACGTCGGACTGCGTTCGCAGGCCGACGGAGGCCGCCGCCTCCGGGTACCTCTTCACGACGGCGTCGAGCACGACGCCCGCCTGGTACGGATCGGCCGGCAAAGAATCGGCGGTCTTGGATACCGCTCGCTGCGAAGCCCGCACGGTCGCCGCGTCGCCTCGCGCCTGGCCGTCGGAGCGCACGCGAAAGGCTTCGTTGCGTTGCTCGATGCTGACCGGTTCGAGCGGCCCAGACTTCGGCAACAGCGCCTCCCGCGCTCGCGCCAGCTCCGCCGTCTTGGCCGCGTGCGCCAGCGACGCCGCCGCCGCCGCCTCAGTCTTCGCCGCCAGTTGCGCCTTCAGCGCGATCACTTCCGCCTGCAGCGCCGCGTTGAGCCGCGACCCGTCGCTGTCGCACGCGCCGCCGCCGCTCCGCCCGCCGCCGCCGCCGCCCGCTGCCGGCCCGCGCTTCGCCCGGCCGCCGGCCGGATCCTTGTCCGGTGCCGTCTCGGCCGGCCGCTTGCTTCCCGCCGCCGCGACCGCCTCCGCCGCCGCCGCGGCCATCTTGGCGGACTGCTTCTCGATCTTGGCTCGCTCTCGCCTCTCGCGCGCCGCCGCCGCCTTCTTCTGCTTCTGATACCTGTCCGGGTCGTTCCCGGACAACGTCTTCCCGGACAACGTCGACATCGCGACCATCGTTGGTCGCTAACTGCACCTGCCGAGGCTCTGTCTTGGCCGGCAAAATCGTGTTTCTTTTTCGGTCCTTCGTAACCGGAAAAGGGGACGTAGCTGCCTCTGCCGGCCCCAGGGCAACCGGCCCTCAAGAGTGGCGGGCGCCGGGCTTCCTTCACCACCGAGGGCAAGCTCTCCAGCGCCGCGCCGGTGCCATGAGCCGCGATGTGGACCGTTCGTGGGCAGCCGTACAGGTACGCGGGCCCTCGCGCGTACCATCTGAAGTAGTGAGGGGGCACACCAGCCGCTGCTCGGCGTCCCCCCGACGCGCCCAGGCCCCTCGCCTGGGTGGTGAAGGAAGGCCAGGCTTGCACTCGTGCCGAGCCTGAGACCCACGCGCGCCTCTTCACGCTTTTTAGTGTTTTGGTGGCTTTTCACACCTACCACTCATTACGTTCACAGCACTCGGGGGGACCGACCCTGCATGGTCGGGCCGGCTCGCTGTGTCCCAGGGGACCCACTCAAAGGGCTGGGGGCGCAGGGAGCCAGGAGGAGGGCCCTGGGGGCGCTACTCGCTCGTTTGTCGCCTCCCTCACTTAGGTGGCCCCAGGTGGACGTAAAACACGTCGGGTCAAGGCACAAGGGCACGACCGATATTTTTGCTTGCAAAAACGCAACATTTTCTTCGCGGGCGGGGCTCCGCCCCGCACCCCGCCGGGGCTCCGCCGCCCCGGACCCTAGCTGACCGAGGGGAGGGGGGGTCAGCTGCCGCTGGCTCGGGACCGCTGAGCGACAGGGGAGTGAGGTACCCCCCCCCACCTCCACCTGGTCAGACCGTCGACCAAGAGGGGGGTCAACGTCATGACCCACCACGACCCGACGAGCCGCCGTCGCTCCCCGCCCGCCCACGGGCGAGTGTATCCGCCGCGGCGACCACGTGCGGCCATCCGCGCAGCATCACGGGGCGGCAGTCGATCATGGGCGAGGTCGCCTTTGGCACAGCGTTCTCGAAGGCGCGACGCTCGTCCGCCGCCACCTCGACGTCGTCGCGCGTCAGCTTGCGCAGCACGTCGAGCAGCAGGTCCGGAGGCAGGAGGGCGAGGCCGCCCGCGCCCGTGCCGCGCCGCGCGTGCAGCAGCAGCAGCCACACCACCTCGCGGAAGGCCCGTGGGAAGAAGCCGTGCACGCTCGGGCTCCAGCGCCGCCACTCGTACAGCCGGCGCGGGAAGGAGGGGTCGCGCCCAATCTCGAGCGGCGACGCTTGGAGCGCGCCGGTGGCGTAACGGGCGAGGCGCACCGCCATCGCCTCGCGAGCGCTCGCTAGCGCCACCTCGATGTCCAAGCCGCCACGCGATGGCATGGGGCGCTTGGCCCATGGCGCGTCGCTGCCAGTAGGCGCGCCGCCCAGCAGATCGACGGGCAGCGCCGCATACGCCGACGTGCTGAGCAGCTGGAGCGGTGTGTTGCCGCTCGCGGAGCGCGCGCTCAGGCTCGCGCCCGCGTCGACCAGCGCGAGGGCGGTCTCCTCGAACGAGGCGGCGCACGCGGCGTGCAGCGCCGTCCGGCCGTCGGGCATGCTCGCATGTGGGTCGGCGTGCGCGCCGAGCAGCGCGCCGACGCACGCGACGTGGCCATTCTTGGCGGCAAGCGCCAGCGCGGTCTCGCCCGTACGCCGGCGCGCGTCGGGACGCGCGCCGGCCGCGAGCAACGCGCGGCATTGGCGCTCGTCGCCCGCCTCGGCCACGTCCGGCAGCAGCGCCGTCTTCAGATCGCCTTCTCGCGTGGGCAGGAGCGTGTCGGGCTCGCCGCTCACGAATTGAAGCACGACGTTCTCGACCTGCGCACGCGTCATCGACGCCACCTGCTCACGGCTGCTGAAGCCCTGGCGCTCGAACTCGGCCACCAGCGCCGAAATCAGCATGTCGGCGACCGAACCGCCCGCTGCTGGCGCCGCCGGCGCGGCTGTGGGTTGGGCAGAGGGCCCGGCGGGTGCGGTGGGTGTGGCTGCTGCGGGCGCGTCAAGTGTGGTTGTGGCGGCGGGCGCGGCTCCAGGAACGGAGGCAACTGCGTCCAATCCGTGAGTGGAAGCAGCTGATGCGCCCGCCGACGGCACCACCGAGGTCGGCGCAGCAACGGGCGCAGCAGAATGCGATGCGGCTGAGAGCGTGTCGGTGGAGGCCTCTGGCGCTCCAGATGGTGCAACATCCTTGGCTGGCGGGACGCGGAAGAGATTGGTGAACGCGGCGCCGAGGCGCTTCAGCATCTGCTCGTGGCGTGACTGCCTCGTCCGCCACGCCCTGCTTCTGCGCGACACCGTCGGGTTTTGCAGCAACCCTCCAGGAGAATGGCGATGAGATGAACCGCCAAGACCACGAGAATCGCCGGTCCAGGTCCGATGGACACAGGCCGCTGGACGCAGCACCCCAAATCGGCTTTTTTAAGCGGGCCGAAAATTCTTTTGCCGGCTCGACCCGCTGCCGGGGTAGTGCCGGCCACACCATGCTCCTCCTCTCGCAGCCCGACGACGTCACTGACGCGGACGGTCTGTGCGTCGCCGGCGACGGCCTGCGTGCCTCGCTCCTCGCGCGGCCGCTGGAGCAGTCGTGGTGCTCCGCTGCCAGTGATGCAGCCAGCCAGCTGGCGGCCGACCCGAATATGTGCGCCGCTGCGAGCCTCTCCACGCTCCGCGCGCTGCGGGTACCTACCGGCACGCTGGTCGTGCTGCGCTGTCTCGGCGGGCCCAGTCGACCCGCTCACCTGCATGCATTGCCTCGCGGCGCTGGCGAGGCGCCGAGGTGGCTGTCTGGGCTGTGCGAGGGCGTCGAGCTGGACCACGCCGAGGACGGTGTGCTCTACCTCTCCCCACTGCTCTGGCGCAACCTTGGCGGCGGCGGCGGCGGCCATCCGATGCCGCCGCTGGCGGTGCTCGTGCGGCGCGGGAGTGCGGACACCTCCCTGCCTCCTGTCGCTCGGAGAGCCGTCGTGCAGCCGGTGGCGTCGCCCACGCCGCAGCAGTACGGCTGGCCGCCGCCGCGCGCTCCCGCCGCCGCCGGTGCCGCCGCTGCCGCCGTACTTCGCCGCCACTTTCGCCAGCCGAGGCTCCTCTGCTCTCCTCTGCTCTGCAGACCCTCTGCAGACGCGTCGTCTCGCGGCCGCCTCCTCACGCCGGCGGCGCGGCGCTGTAGGATCGTCTGCGCGGGAGACGTCTTCGCGGTGCCGACCGGGGCGGGCAGGCGCGGAGGCGGTGCGTCGGGCGGCGGCGACGAGTCCAGCGACTCGAGCAGCGACGACGAGGCTGCTCGCACCCCGGCGCGCGCCTGCCCGCACCAGGGCCTGCGAGAAGAGGGCGAGAAGAGGCCTGCCGCCGCTCTGCCGTTGCAGAGGTTGGACTTGCGCGGCCGCAGGCGATCCTCTTCCTGGTCCTCGAGCTGGACGGGGGCGAAGAGGGCGGCGGGGGCGGCGAGGGCGGCGGGGGCGGCGAGGCAGGGGCGGGCGGACAGCGCAGCGGCGCCCTGCTCGTCGTGCGCGGCGAGACGGCCCTCGTGCAAGAGGCGGGGAGTGCGTCCGTCGCGCCGCCGGCGGGGCTGCTCCGCTTCGTGGCGAGAGCGCCGGCGCTGCCGCAGCACGAGGGGGAGGGCGCCGCGGAGCTGCGCCGCTGCCTCGCCCTCTCGCGGTGGCGGGAGGGGCCGGCGGCGGCGGCGGTGCTGCTTTGCGGGGGCGCAGGCAGCGGCAAGCGGCGCCTTGCCGAGCAGTGGTGTGACGAGGCGGGCTTGGCCCTGGTGCAGCGCTCCGTCGGCTCGCTGCCCGGCTTGCCCATGCACGCCGCGGAGAGCGAGGCGACGGCGACGCGGACCTTGCTCGCCCTCGTCTCCGAGGCGGCGGCGCAGGCGGGCGACACCTGCAAGCGTGCTGCTCCTCCGCCTAGGTGTGATCTGGAGTCTCTTGAGTGACAGCAGGCTGCGACATCGACGACCGTGCTGCTCCTCCGCCGGCTCGACCTGCTGCCGGCAGAGGCCGCCGCCGCCGCCGCTTGGGCCCGCGCGATCAGGGCAATGCTGCAGCACGCGCACGCGCCGGCAGGCGGCGGCGGCGGTGGCGGTGGCGGCGGCGGCGGCGGCGGCGGCGGCGGCGTGGTCGTCGTTTGCTCGTGCCGCAATCTCGAGCAGGTGCTTTCACTCACCTGAGGCATCATGTATTGTGCAGATCTGATCAAGCAACTTCGAGCAGGTCCCTCCGCCGGTGCGCGCTTCTTTCCACGTCGTCGCGCGAGCCGCCGCGCCCGGCTCTCTGCCTCCCGCCCTGAGGCTGGCGGGGCTCACGGCTGCGCTGCGGGCGCACGGCGCGCTGCGTGGCAGCGAGCGCACCGGCGCCACGGCCGCCACCGCCACCAGCAACGGATTGGCCACCGCGGGAAACGGCAAGGTGGCGGCGGTGGCGGCGGCGGCGGTGGCCGCGGCGCCGTCGCCAGCGTCTCTCCCTCACCCGATGGAATGCGCGGCGGCGGCGGCGGCGGCAGCTGCGGCGGCGGAGGAGGAGGAGTCGGCCGCGAGTCGGGAGCGCGAGCTGCTCGCCGCTGCGGCCGCGGCGGTGGCCGCCGAGCCGCGGCTTACTCCCCGCGATTGGGCGCTGGTTTGCGGTGAGGCGCAGCTGCTTGCGCCTGCGGGCGCCGCCCTTGGCGCTGCGGAGCTGCGCGAGGCCCTGCGGAGGCGGCTGGCGCGGGAGGGCGACGAGCTCGGGTCGCCAGAGGTTGCGAACGTGCAGTGGGACGACGTGGGCGGGCAGGAGGAGGCGAAGCGCGCCATCCTCGAGACGATCCAGCTGCCGCTGTCCGCGCCGCACCTCTTCGGCGCCGGGCTGCGGCTCCGCTCGGGGGCGCGGGGCTTCTGGCTCTCCGCCCCGCCCGCCCGCCTCCGCTTCACACGCTGCGTGCCTGCGAGTAGGTGCTGCTGCACGGCCCTCCCGGCACGGGCAAGACGCTCCTCGCAAAGGCGGTCGCGTCGCAGTGCGGCCTCCGCTTCCTCTCCGTCAAGGCGGCCTCCTCTTCCGCCTCCTCTTCCGCCCGACACTGCGACTCTCTGCCTCCCCTCGACCCTCCGAACCCCCCCCCTTCCCCCTTCCCCCTTTTCCCACCCGCCCGCACACACCCCTCGTGTCGCAGGGGCCGGAGCTCATCTCGTCGTACGTCGGCGAGAGCGAGCGGCGCGTGCGCGAGCTCTTCTCTCGCGCCGCCGCCGCCGCGCCCTGCGTCCTCTTCTTCGACGAGATCGACGCGCTCGCGCCCGCGCGCGGCGCGGCGGCGGACGCCGGCGGCGTGATGGACCGCATCGTCTCTCAGCTCATGGCGGAGCTCGACGGCGTCCACGCGCGGCGCCACCTCTTCGTGCTCGGTGCCACCAACCGGCCAGACCTGCTCGAGCCGGCACTCCTCTGGCCGTGGGCCGCATCTCCTCCCGAGAGGGTCTGAGACGACCCGAGCCTGCCCGAGAACAGGCGCTCCTCCGGCCGGGCCGGCTCGACGTGCTGGTGCGCGTCGGCCCGCCCTCCACCCCGGCCGAGCAGGCGCAGGTCCTCGCCGCCCTGACGCGCAAGTTCGACCTCTCGCCCGACGTCTCCCTGTCCGACGTCGCCGCCCGCTGCCCCATCGGCCTCTCCGGCGCCGACTACTACGCGCTCTGCGCCGACGCGATGGTGCGCGCCATTCAGGAGGGCCTCCCGGAGGCGCAGGCGGTGGCGGCACAGGACGGCGCCGACGGCAGCGGCAGCGAGAGCGACGACGGCAGCGAGGACGACGAGGCGGACGGGGGCCAGGCGGCGGGCGCGGAGGGGCAAGCGGTCATGCAGGCCGAGTCGGTGCCGCCGCCAGTGGTGGCGGCGCGTCACTTTGACGCGGCGGTGCGGAGCTTGTTGGGCAGCCGCGAGGCGCGACCACGAAACAGCGTGGACGACATGGCTCGACTGCTTCAGGAGGAGATGGCGACACAGAGCTGCTGAGTGTGGAGGATGTGTGAGATCTGAGATGTGCGCCGCAACGGCCGTAAGTGCGCGTAAAAATCTTCGACCGAGAGGGTTGCACATTGAGTTTCTCCGCGCGCTATGCGCACTGCTGAGAGTGCTGTACTGATTTTACGCTGTGTACGAAACTCTACTGTACGTAGTACGACCGAGCCAATTCAGGGACGCAGGGGACGCTGCGGCCTGCGCGCGGTACGCGCGTCGGCGGCCGCATCCACGATTTCTCGTCCATGTAACGAGAAGGACAGGCGGGTACCGCAAACCAGCGACGGGCGCGCGGGGCTCTCTCAGAAAGTGGCCCACGATGGCTCCTCCTCCGCCGCCGCCGGCTGGTCTGCGGGCGGCGCCTCCTCCGTGCCGGCCGCGATGCTCGCAGGCGGCGAGGTGGGCTTCTCGCTGTCCGTCCACGTGAGCGCCACGCGCAGCTCCTTGCCGCCGCCCCGCGCCTGCAGCGGCCGCCACGGCGCGGCCCCGATGGCGCCGCAAGCCGCGTCCGGCTCGAGCGGCACCGTCGCCCTCCCCACGAGGGAGTGCGGCGCCCAGCGGCGGCGGCGCCAAAAGGAGAGCTCGAGGCTCTGCAGGCTGTGCGCCTCGAAGGAGAGGTCGGCGCATGCCCACGCGTGTACCGGCCGCAGCGCCTCCTTGTCCGTGCAGACCTGGTCCGCGCAGACCACCCCGCTCCTGCGCGTGCAACGCGTGCACGGGGTGAGTGGCGCGGCGCCGGGGCGCAGGGCAGGCAGGCGGGCGCGGCGTGCTTGCGGCGGCCGCTCGCGCCGGCCGAAGCGAGGAAGTAGACTGGCCTCCGCTCTCCGCCGCTCGCAAAGAGGCATCGCGCCTCGACAGCGGCGAGCGAGGCGGTGCCGCACCTTCCCCGCGTGAGCGCGACGCCCGCGCCGCCGCACCGCGCCAGCAGCGCCGCCGCCGTCGGCCGCGCCGTTGCGCTGCGGGTGAGAGCGGCGCGCAGCAGCGAGACGAGACCCTCTCTCTGCCCTCCGACGGATGGGAGCGGGCCGAGCGCCTGCTCACACCGCCTCCTGTCAAGGAACGGCCGCGGCCGTGCGCCGCCCTCTCGCAGCGAGCGCCTCGTCGGACAGCTGCTTCGCCGGCTCAAAGCCGAGACAGCCCAGCCGCTCCTCGCCCGCCGTGCCGAAGAGGCTGCGCCTGCGGCGGAGGGGCCGCAGGAGGGCGACGGTGGGAGTCTGGCGGCGCGGGCGGAGGCGGCGGAAGAGGGCAATGCGGCGAGGGCAATGCGGCGCCCGAGCAGCAGCGCGTACAGCAGCACTCCGACGGCCCACACGTCAGCCGGCGTGAAGACGGGCTCGCCAGCTCTGAGGTCATACATCTCGGGCGGGCGGTACTGCGGCGTCGAGGTGCGGTGGATCCGCTCCTCGGCTTCAGACAGCTC